TGTTTGTTTGTTGAAAACGGGGAAACTGCTTAGTTTGGGAGTTTTCAGTTACATTTTGTTGCTGCATTATGGGGCCAGAAATTAACATTTCTGGTTGATATTTGCGGGACGGGGGAGGGAATTATTTCCGGGGCAAATCGAGTTCTTATGCAAATGAATAAGAAGAATACCAGCATTCTAGTTTGTTGCATGCAAATCATTCGGGTCGCTTTCGCGGCTGGTGGCATTTGCAGCGCCGAATACAGTCCCGACGCTGTACCACAGCTCTTGTCCTGGTCAGCAATCGGAGCAGGGGTTATCTTTGTGTCGGGTCTGTACCGTGTCCTGCCCCAGCGAGAGATGGGTCCGAGTCTGGGGCGCTTGGGTGCACCTAATACATAATGCCCAGCGCCCGGCACAATAGACTCAGCAGAGTCTGTGCTAGGTGCAGCACATAACGCATGGTGATAGCCAGTCCCTGCTCCGAGCAAGCCAGCCAAAGGAAAGCTGCCAATTCCCGTGTGATGGCCAGGAAGCTGAGGCCTGGGGAGGCTAAGTGTCTTGTCCTGGGTCACCCTGGCAGCGACAGGAATTGAAGCCAGAGGTCTCCTGCGTCCCACGCTGCTGCTTTAACACCAGCCCCACCTTCCCTGTCTAAACCGCGTGCCCCGTGCAATCTTGCCTGGGTGCCAGTGAAATCCCTGTTGTGTTCCCCAGCCCCCAGGCTGCGTTATCCAGCCGCTTCCCCGGCAGGGCATCGTTTATCTCTAGGACAAATGACTCCTCGGGCTCTGGGCGCGAGAGCCGCACAGCATGAGTGGCTCTGAAAGCCGGCTCCTCGACTCAGCACCCTTTGAGTCTGCAGATAACCCCCCGGCTGTGCATCGGGGCTAAGTGAGGGACACGTCACCAGCAGCCAGGCGTCCGGAGTCCAGCTCCCAGATGGAGAAGCCTAGCAGGGAATTCCCTTCCTCATCCCTCCTATGCAAAACTCTTTGTGCGGCTAATAAACCAGTGTCAATGTGCATCTGACCAGGGCAGAGCCGGACCATTGGGTCATTAGGGGGAACGCGGATCCCACGGCACTTCTCAGAAGGTCAGAGGGTTTCCTCTCTCTGTGCAGAACTGAGATCCATCCCGTCCTGTATTCTGTCTCCAACGGGATTCTGAGATGCAGGGTGGGCAGTGACGGTTTGACCTTCACAAACCTGCATTTCCCTTGCAGGCCGGGGGAGGGATGGCTGGATCGCGTGTGTCCCGGGGACAGGGCTAGCGGCACGGCTCTGGTCTCTCCAAGTGCACCCCATCTGGTGCCAGGTCTGGTGCCCTTACCCCTCCTGGGGTGGAATTCCCCAATTCTCCCGCTCGTAGGGTATATCCCAGGGGTGACTGCAGCCAGGCAGAGGTACACCAGCTCACTTTGATCTCGCTCGCTCCAATAACAGTGGAGCTGGGGCTAGCCAGTCGAGTGCATACCCAGGGCTGAGTCTTGTGGAGAGAAATTTGGGGCCCTGGTACATCATGTTTGCGGGGGCCCCGTCCTCTCTCCTTTCACCCATTTTACAGATGTTCTGGGGCCCCCCTGAGCTGGGAGCCCTGGTATAATTGTCCCTCATCTCTCCCCTCTCATCATCTCTGTCGTACAGCTGGTGCTGCGGCGGATTCACTGCTCTGATTATACGAGCTAGTTGGAGCAAAGCTACCGCTACATGTGCTGCAGTGTAGACATGCCTCCGGACCGGGTCCAAGGCTCCAAGGAGGAATGTGTTGGAATTGCAAGTTCAAAAGCGGGGGTGGTTGCCTGTTCCTTTTGGCGGGCTAGGGGGCTCTGAGTCAGTCTGGAAAGAGCCAGCTTTAAGCAAGGTGGGCTGAGTTGCAGCGCACTGCCTTAGGAGCAGCCTGTTTTCTCTCTCTCTGTTTATGGGTCCTTGTGTATCATTATTCTGACTTCTTAGAAATCGAGCAGCGGAACATAAGAACGACCATACTGGGTCAGACCAAAGGTCTATCTAGCCCAATACCCTGTCTTCTGACAGTGGCCACGGCCAGGTGCCTTGGAGGGAACGAACAGAACAGGTAATCGTCGAGTGAAACATCCCCTGTTGCCCATTCCCAGCTTCTGGCAAACAGAGGCCAGGGACACCATCCTTGCCCATCCTGGCTAATAGCCATTGATGGACCTATCCTCCATGAACTTATCTAGTTATTTTTTGAACCCTGTTATAGTCTTGGCCTTTACAACATCCTCTAGCAAGGAGTTCCACAGGTTGACTGGGTGTTGTGTGAAGAAGAACTTCCTTTTGTTTGTTTTAAACCTGCTGCCTTTTAATTTCATACGGTGACCCCTAATTCTTGTGTTATGAGGAGTAAACAACACTTCCTTATTTACTTTCTCCACACCAGTCATGATTTTATAGCCCTCTCTCATATCCCCCCTTAGTTGTCTCTTTTCCAAGCGGAAAAGTCCCAGTCTTATTAATCACTCCTCATATCGAAGCTGTTTCATACCCCTAGTCATTTGTAACTTTGCAGCAGAAGCCGAAATCACCTGACCCAATCAATTCGGGAGAGGGGGGCAACGCTCATTGTCCCCCCCACACACTGGGGATGGGCAGGGGAGTTTGACAATCAAAAGACAGACCCCCAAAACCCACAATATAGTATTGAAAGAAAAATGTCTCCTGATTTGTGAGGGTCTGATCCATGATTTTGATCTCGAGGTTGGCAGCCCTGCATGCACGATCTAGCTTTGATCAAGCCAGCTCAGATCACAATAGAAATGAAGCCGTAGGAGCATGGATAGCAACCTGGGCTAGCCACTCGGGTACGTCGCCCCATGCGGGCTAGTGTTCAGCAAAGCTGGCCCATGCGAATGTGGCAACACTAGTATTTTTAGTGCGTTAACTTGTGTGAGCATGGCGACGTGAGCTGGGAATCCCAGCCCTAGCTCCAAGTGTAGACTGTCTGGTTCCCTCGAACAATGACGAATACCCCACCTCTCTTGAGAGCGTGTTCCTTTCTACACCGACCTCGGTTCCTCTGCTCTCCGGTGTTCCCAGGCCTTTTTCTGGCCCGGCACCGTCTTTTAACAACTCTCCCGTGTTCGCTGAGAAGTGGCTTAGCTTGAGCGAGTCTTTTCCGCCTGCCTTTTTTTTTTTTTTGCTGACAGGGCCTCTAGTAAACGCACCCAAAAGGTAAATACAATAACAGCCCAATGACCGCAGTATAATGCAGTATGACAGTAATGCAGTCCCAATGCTTGCGTATGCATTTTTATTTCCTTCATGCAATCGGGGAGCAGTAGGGACCGGTGGCTTGGGGCGTTGGTTAGGGTGAACATGCATCTCCTTACTGCAATCGGGGGTGGGGCTGGTTTGCGTGTCAATGCATATCTCATGCAGCTCGGGGTGCATGCTTTGCAAATACAAGCATTTCCCGCTTGCAAGGGTGTGCCTATTATTGCAATGGTCAATAGCTGGTTTGCATGCATGCGTCGCCACTTCTGCAAAGTGTGGGGAAGCCGACTAGCATGCACAGGCATCGCCTTCTTGAAATGGAAGGATACGAGTCCAATGACGGGTTCGCTGATATGCATATCTGCTTGCAGAGCCGGGGACCTATCGCAGTAAGGGGCGACTGGTTTGCATGCAAGTGCACCCTTCTCTTCCAATGGAAGGCTGCTAGTGCCATGAGAGGATGGGAGACTTGCAAATGCACCCAGTGCTTAATTGGTAATGAGCGTGGTATCGGGGCTCAAGCAATTAGGTTCTGGGGCTCAAGGCACTTCTTTACTTGCATCACGGGTGCAGCGAGCTGAGATGTGCCGTGGCTATGAACTGCCAAGCCTAGAGGTGCCGGGGGCTTGGCACAAATGTAGCACGGCCTGCACCCTCCTTTTGCAGTTTGGGGGGGGGGGAGGAGCTGCTCTGGCCATGAGCGGGATCTGGATTCCTGCACAGACACTTCCCTCTTTTGCATGCGCGTGCATACTAGTGCGCTGCATCGCCTCCTTGCAGTGAAATGCATCTGACGAGAGACATGCATCTCTCTCTGGCCATGGAAAGGGGCCATTGCAATGAGGGGCTGGGTGGTTGGTCCCCCCCGCCCCCCTTGGGGGGGGGCTGCTCTTGCAAGGAGGAGTGGCTGGTTTGCATGCAGGTGCAAGGCTATGCAATGGGTGTGGGGGCTGCAGGGGAATGGCCCCTCCTGGTGCATGCGAAGGGGGGGGGGCTGCTC